GCACAATCTGTAAACTAAGGAAACATACAGCAGCTTGCTAAGTTACTGATGATTCTTAGGTGAAAGAGTTGCTAGCTGAACTTTGTCACCTTTTAGCATGGTCATCACAGAGATTCGAGTCCATATGATAGTATCCGTATAGACGGTCGAATATCAGCAGTCTGTGTGAAGAAGAGTACACTCAATGACCCAGATGTGATTTGAACACACAACCTTCTGATCTGGAGACAGACGCGCTACCAGCAGGAAATCCATAGCGCATCATGGTGCAAGGCATACTTGTTCACGGTTGCACTGATCAAGACACATTGGAACTCAGAGACAAGTGGTGGGTTGTGACTTTTGCGACTAGAGTCTGACATCTGGGCAAGAGATTCTTCAGAAGACAAGGCACAAGCCCTTTCATGGCATAACCTGACTGGTTTCCCCTTCCCTTGACTTTAAGGGAGATTATCAAGCCCAAATGGCAGATCTCACCTCAGTGCATGAGAGTGCATGAGAGTGAAGCGTGGACAACTTATTCCTGAAGCGAAACTTAGAGACTCAACTGCCTATGTGATAGAACCATGGTTCAACTTTCTTTTGGGTAACTTCACACATTTACCACTTGTACGAGGCCTTTGTGTCATTATATGTGTCAGATGATGTGTCAGAATCAGTGGCAACGGTGGAATAAAGCTGCTTCTTGCGAGTCATACAGAGCCAAGATTGCACGTCTGTTTGTGAGTGGAACTAACTTGTTTGATAGTCATTTGGTCTCCTTGTGCAGAAAAGACAAGTTTAATTAAATATGCTGATGCAGAAAAGACAAGTTTAATTAAATATGCTGATGCTATTCAAATTATTCTCATACCATGACAAGCAAGGCATTCTTTGAACCAAGACAAGACTTCAGAGTTAGCCTCTTGAATAAGAGTTATGCTGGTAACAATTTGCAAGTGACATGATGGTCAAAAGTGTACTAGTTGTAAAGCAAAATACGAAGAAGGTAGTTCAACAGAAAACACTAGGGTTAAGTTGAAACTGGACAACATAATAGATAGGACCAAAGTTCAACATTCTCTTGGTTAAAGTCACCATCTTACAGGTTACACAAAAACCAGTTATATCTTTGTGAGCGTGTCCACAGGCCTTACCTTCAACTCAGATTGTTAACTGAAGTCTCACGTCGAGCCCAGATAGCTCAGTCGGTAGAGCATCAGACTTTTAATCTGAGGGTCCAGGGTTCAAGTCCTGTTTTTGGGCGCGCTGTAATACCTGCTTGTTTAACCCTCCAAATCTCTCTGAGAGGACCAGTGAAAGTACAATCTTCAGGGGTATTTTGTTCACCAAGCACAATCTGTAAACTAAGGAAACATACAGCAGCTTGCTAAGTTACTGATGATTCTTAGGTGAAAGAGTTACTAGCTTGCTGAAGGGGGGTTGTGTGAAGAAAGTACACTCAATGACCCAGATGTGATTTGAACACACAACCTTCTGATCTGGAGACAGACGCGCTACCAGCAGGAAATCCATAGCGCATCATGGTGCAAGGCATACTTGTTCACGGTTGCACTGATCAAGACACATTGGAACTCAGAGACAAGTGGTGGGTTGTGACTTTTGCGACTAGAGTCTGACATCTGGGCAAGAGATTCTTCAGAAGACAAGGCACAAGCCCTTTCATGGCATAACCTGACTGGTTTCCCCTTCCCTTGACTTTAAGGGAGATTATCAAGCCCAAATGGCAGATCTCACCTCAGTGCATGAGAGTGCATGAGAGTGAAGCGTGGACAACTTATTCCTGAAGCGAAACTTAGAGACTCAACTGCCTATGTGATAGAACCATGGTTCAACTTTCTTTTGGGTAACTTCACACATTTACCACTTGTACGAGGCCTTTGTGTCATTATATGTGTCAGATGATGTGTCAGAATCAGTGGCAACGGTGGAATAAAGCTGCTTCTTGCGAGTCATACAGAGCCAAGATTGCACGTCTGTTTGTGAGTGGAACTAACTTGTTTGATAGTCATTTGGTCTCCTTGTGCAGAAAAGACAAGTTTAATTAAATATGCTGATGCAGAAAAGCGTTTAATTAAATATGCTGATGCTATTCAAATTATTCTCATACCATGACAAGCAAGGCATTCTTTGAACCAAGACAAGACTTCAGAGTTAGCCTCATGAATAAGAGTTATGCTGGTAACAATTTGCAAGTGACATGATGGTCAAAAGTGTACTAGTTGTAAAGCAAAATACGAAGAAGGTAGTTCAACAGAAAACACTAGGGTTAAGTTGAAACTGGACAACATAATAGATAGGACCAAAGTTCAACATTCTCTTGGTTAAAGTCACCATCTTACAGGTTACACAAAAACCAGTTATATCTTTGTGAGCGTGTCCACAGGCCTTACCTTCAACTCAGATTGTTAACTGAAGTCTCACGTCGAGCCCAGATAGCTCAGTCGGTAGAGCATCAGACTTTTAATCTGAGGGTCCAGGGTTCAAGTCCCTGTTTGGGCGCTGTAATACCTGCTTGTTTAACCCTCCAAATCTCTCTGAGAGGACCAGTGAAAGTACAATCTTCAGGGGTATTTTGTTCACCAAGCACAATCTGTAAACTAAGGAAACATACAGCAGCTTGCTAAGTTACTGATGATTCTTAGGTGAAAGAGTTGCTAGCTAACTTTGTAATAATAAAAAATAGTTTAAGAAGAGTACACTCAATGACCCAGATGTGATTTGAACACACAACCTTCTGATCTGGAGACAGACGCGCTTACCAGCAGGAAATCCATAGCGCATCATGGTGCAAGGCATACTTGTTCACGGTTGCACTGATCAAGACACATTGGAACTCAGAGACAAGTGGTGGGTTGTGACTTTGCGACTCAGAGTCTGACATCTGGGCAAGAGATTCTTCAGAAGACAAGGCACAAGCCCTTTCATGGCATAACCTGACTGGTTTCCCCTTCCCTTGACTTTAAGGGAGATTATCAAGCCCAAATGGCAGATCTCACCTCAGTGCATGAGAGTGAAGCGTGGACAACTTATTCCTGAAGTGCAACTTAGAGACTCAACTGCCTATGTGATAGAACCATGGTTCAACTTTCTTTTGGGTAACTTCACACATTTACCACTTGTACGAGGCCTTTGTGTCATTATATGTGTCAGATGATGTGTCAGCAATTGGTGGCAACGGTTGGATATAGTTACCTTTTTTACGCAGTCATAAAGAGCCAAGATTACACGTCTGTTTGTGAGTGGAACTAACTTGTTTGATAGTCATTTGGTCTCCTTGTGCAGAAAAGACAAGTTTAATTAAATATGCTGATGCAGAAAAGACAAGTTTAATTAAATATGCTGATGCTATTCAAATTATTCTCATACCATGACAAGCAAGGCATTCTTTGAACCAAGACAAGACTTCAGAGTTAGCCTCTTGAATAAGAGTTATGCTGGTAACAATTTGCAAGTGACATGATGGTCAAAAGTCTACTAGTTGTAAAGCAAAATACGAAGAAGGTAGTTCAACAGAAAACACTAGGGTTAAGTTGAAACTGGACAACATAATAGATAGGACCAAAGTTCAACATTCTCTTGGTTAAAGTCACCATCTTACAGGTTACACAAAAACCAGTTATATCTTTGTGAGCGTGTCCACAGGCCTTACCTTCAACTCAGAATGTTAACTGAAGTCTCATGTCGAGCCCAGATAGCTCAGTCGGTAGAGCATCAGACTTTTAATCTGAGGGTCCAGGGTTCAAGTCCCTGTTTGGGCGCTGTAATACCTGCGTGTTTAACCCTCCAAATCTCTCTGAGAGGACCAGTGAAAGTACAATCTTCAGGGGTATTTTGTTCACCAAGCACAATCTGTAAACTAAGGAAACATACAGCAGCTTGCTAAGTTACTGATGATTCTTAGGTGAAAGAGTTGCTAGCTGAACTTTGTCACCTTTAGCATGTCATACAGAGATTCGAGTCATATATAGTATCCTAACTCGAATATCAGCAGTTTTGAAGAAGAGTACACTCAATGACCCAGATGTGATTTGAACACACAACCTTCTGATCTGGAGACAGACGCGCTACCAGCAGGAAATCCATAGCGCATCATGGTGCAAGGCATACTTGTTCACGGTTGCACTGATCAAGACACATTGGAACTCAGAGACAAGTGGTGGGTTGTGACTTTTGCGACTAGAGTCTGACATCTGGGCAAGAGATTCTTCAGAAGACAAGGCACAAGCCCTTTCATGGCATAACCTGACTGGTTTCCCCTTCCCTTGACTTTAAGGGAGATTATCAAGCCCAAATGGCAGATCTCACCTCAGTGCATGAGAGTGAAGCGTGGACAACTTATTCTGAGAGTGAAGCGTGACAACCTGAAGGCAACTTAGAGACTCAACTGCCTATGTGATAGAACCATGGTTCAACTTTCTTTTGGGTAACTACACACATTTACCACTTGCGTGGGCCTTTGTTGTCATTATATGTGTCAGATGATGTGTCAGAATCAGTGGCAACGGTGGAATAAAGCTGCCTTTGTGCGAGTCATACAGAGCCAAGATTGCACGTCTGTTTGTGAGTGGAACTAACTTGTTTGATAGTCATTTGGTCTCCTTGTGCAGAAAAAAAAAAAAAAAGACAAGTTTAATTAAATATGCTGATGCTATTCAAATTATTCTCATACCATGACAAGCGCAAGGCATTCTTTGAACCAAGACAAGACTTCAGAGTTAGCCTCATGAATAAGAGTTATGCTGGTAACAATTTGCAAGTGACGTGATGGTCAAAAGTGTACTAGTTGTAAAGCAAAATACGAACAAGGTAGTTCAACAGAAAACACTAGGGTTAAGTTGAAACTGGACAACATAATAGATAGGACCAAAGTTCAACATTCTCTTGGTTAAAGTCACCATCTTATTTACAGGTTACACAAAAACACAGTTATATCTTTGTGAGCGTGTCCACAGGCCTTACCTTCAACTCAGATTGTTGTTAATTAAAGCCCCCGTCGAGCCCAGATAGCTGCGTCGGTAGAGCACCACACTTTTAATCTGAAGGTCCAGGGTTCAAGATCCTGTTTGGGTGCTGTAATACCTGTTTGTTTAACCCTCCAAATCTCTCTGAGAGGACCAGTGAAAGCAACAAAAGTACAATCTTAAGGAAAATTTTGTTCAGCAAGCACAATCTGTAAACTAACGAAACATACAGCAGGTTGCTAAGTTACTGATGATTCTTAGGTGAAAGAGTTGCTAGCTGAACTTTGTCACCTTTTAGCATGAGGTTGACAAAGACGTGGTTGGTCATCACAGAGATTCTAGTCAATATGATAGTATCCGTATTAGACTGTGCAGAAAATCAACAGTTTGTGTGAAGAAGAGTACACTCAATGACCCAGACGTGATTTGAACACACAACCTTCTGATCTGCAGACAGACGCGCTACCAGCAGGAAATTTTTTCAGGTGGCTTGTGGCAAACTTTAGACGAGACTTTTTATGGATATCTTTGAAAAATGGCTTTCTTTTTGCCACTCTTCCATAATGGCCAGATTTGTGCAGTGTACGACTGATTGTTGTCCTATGGACAGACTCTCCCACCTCAGCTGTAGTTCTTTGCAGTTCATCCAGAGTGATCATGGGCCTCTTGGCTGCATCTCTGATCAGTCTTCTCCTTGTCTGAGCTGAAAGTTTAGAGGGACGGCCAGGTCTTGTAGATTTGCAGTGGTCTGATACTCCTTCCATTTCAAAATGATCGCTTGCACAGTGCTCCTTGGGATGTTTAAAGCTTGGGAAATCTTTTTGTATCCAAATCCGGCTTTAAACTTCTCCACAACAGTATTACTTACCTGCCTGGTGTGTTCCTTGGTCTTCATGATGCTCTCTGCGCTTTCAACAGAACCCTGAGACTATCACAGAGCAGGTGCATTTATACAGAGACTTGATTACACACAGGTGGATTCTATTTATCACCATCAGTCATTTAGGACAACATTGGATCATTCAGAGATCCTCGCTGAATTTCTGGAGTGAGTTTGCTGCACTGAAAGTAAAGAGGCCGAATAATTTTGCACACACCACTTTTCAGTTTTTTATTTGCTAAAAAAGTTTAAAATATCCAAAAGATTGGGGGTGGATGGACGCCATGCGAAGGGCAGACGTGTGAAAGACAGCTCTGCGCACTTTGCTAACTTTTCGAATTATTTTCATGTTATAATCTGGTGAAATTCGATATACCCGGTTACACTTTTGCTGTTTGAGGTAAACATGGCAAAGAAGGTAAAATCCTCGAGCTCTGGAGACATTAAAAGACACTTACGTGTCCAAGATGAGAGTCCGGATGGGCCTGTGGACCGCGGACTCGTTTTGGGTGGTGCGGCGGGAGAAGAAATCCAGCGCCAACTGTCCAACATGTCGGGGATGTTGACGAAGGTTGTTGCTGACTTGGAGGATCTCGCTGTAATATGCCGTTCGGTTACTGCGATAGAAATAAAATTCTCAGAGTTAGTTACAAGAGTGGCGGATGCGGAGAAACGAATCGAGTATCTGGAGTCTTCGGAAAGGGCATTATCCGCTAATCCAAGAGAGACTTGGAAAAAGTATTGGAAAGATTGGAGGATTTGGAAAATCGAAGCCGAAGGAATAATTTGCGGATTATTGGAGTTCCTGAGCATGAAGAAGGCAGAGATTTGGTGAAATTTCTGGACGAGCTTTTCCCCGAGTCTGCTCGACATAACAGGCCATAAATTAGAACTCGAGTGGGCCCACAGAGTCCCGGCTCAGAGATCTGGCGAGGGAGACAGGCCGCGACCAATCCTGGCTAGATTTCTGAGATCATCCGATAAAGATCTCGTGTTGCGCCAGGCAAGGAGCAAAGGAAGGCTCTCATGGAAGAATCACAATATTTTCCTGTTCCCGGACTTTGCGAACTCGACAAGAGAGAAACGTGATCGGTTCAAGGAATGCAAGAAAGTCTTGCACCAACGTAAAATTACTTTTGCACTGATGTTTCCGGCCAGATTGAGAATAAACACCAAAGATGGCAGCAAAGTATTTACGTGTCCCAATCACGTAATAAATGCCTTTTATTGAATCATTGTGTGAATAGTGCACTGGATGTATCTCTTGCGAGCGGGCCGACTCGCCGTGTGTATTCTGAATCTCGGAGGAAAATGGCCACCATTTATTATTATTATTATTTTTTTTTCTCTGTTGTTTGCGTTGACGCCGAACGGCTAGAAATATTGTTTTGTGAAATATCACTTCTTTAAAGAAACTTTGGCATGGACGGAATATCACTTTTACAATGAAGTTCCAGCCCAGATTAATAATAGATACTACAGACGACCGCGGGGTTATGCGGCCTCCGAGTGAATTGACTTTTGACCATCAGGGGAACCGGGATGCGGTTTATTTCTTCTTTTCCCTTCCCTTTTGTGCTAGCTCCGCCTAGCGGCGGGGCTTCTTTTGTTGAATAACACTGCTTCAGGACAGTGGCAGATGTCTCTGCTCGCTCCTTGCGCTTGTGCCTCCTGCAGGCTGAAGTCCGAATTGTGGAGTATTTCCACGGGATGTTGGAATAATGACGGCACTCTTTCATAACAGCCGGCTCGCTGATTATTCGTTTGTCTGTCTGAGGAAACTGAACGGCTTTACATCGGCTGGAATTTGTTTTGTGTTGTGAAGGAACACCTTTGAGGCAGTTCTGTGAACTAGTCTATACATTATTTGTGTTTACTCTGCTTATTGGTTGGGGTGTATTTTATTTTAGAAAATATTTTTTTTATGTAACTTTGCCTCACAAATTTGTGAGGCAGAATCGTGCAATCCGATGGCAGAGTTGTCGCGGGGGCTTTCGTAGGCGTACATGGACTCTCTGAGTTTAGGGGGATTGGCGCCGGTTGGCGCGGTCATGCGCGGGGTTTATGCGCATGTTTTTCTTTTTTCTGTTTGTTTTGTTCGGGGTGAAGCTTGGGGTTTTATTGTTCCATCAATGTTGAATTGTGGTCTTCATAATTTTGTATTGGGCACACAATTATTTTTTTCTGTTATATCAAAATGTCAGATGTTAATATGAGTGTACTATCTCTCTCCACGTGGAATGTGAATGGGTTAGGACACCCCATAAAAAGAAGGAAGGTCATTACTTTTCTTAATCTTTCCCCGCAGGAAGCTGAAAAATTTGGGAAGATATGGGGCGGTCATGTTTTCTTTAGTGCTGGCTCAAGTAAGAGCAGAGGAGTCATTATATTGGTGAATAAGCATCTACAATTCAAATGTCTCAAACAGTTTAAAGATAAATTAGGGAGAGTAATTATTGTTTTAGCAGAAATTCAAGGGCAAAGTCTTATTTTGGCTAATATTTATGCACCCAATGCTGATGATCAGGGCTTTTTTATAGATCTAGAAGGGATGTTGCAATCTGTTGGCACCCCACATGATATAATATTGGGAGGAGACTTTAATCTTTTGATGGACTCCTTGGTCCTTGATCATAGTGTTGCAAAAGTGGGTAAGCCCCCCAGAGCAACAGTGACGCTTCACAGGATATGTAAAAATCTTGGTCTTGCAGATATTTGGAGACTTTTGAACCCATCTGGTAGGGACTATACATTTTTTTCTTCAGTCCATAAGATTTATTCTAGAATAGATTTTTTTTTGATCTCTAAATCACTCATTTCATCTGTTGCTGATTGTTCAATTGGAAACATCCTAGTCTCAGATCACGCACTGGTGAGTTTAGAGGTGTGGCCACAATCGGAGAAGAAGAAATCATTTAGTTGGCGCTTTAATGTATTCCTTCTACAAAATCCTGATTTTCGACAAATGTTGAAGACGGAACTTGATTTTTATATGGAGACCAACTGGTCCTCAGTATCCTCTGTGGGCGTGGCGTGGGAGGCCTTAAGGCAGTTCTCAGGGGTCGGATTATACAGTGTGCCTCATTCATTAAAAAATCCAAAGCACGAGAACTTGTGGATTTGGAAGGACATATTAAAAGTGCAGAGGCAGAGCTGAAGCGTCGAATGTCGTCTGATGGTCTCAGAGAATTGACCAGATTGAAATATAGATATAATACTATTTTGTCACGAAAAGTGGAGTTTTGGTTGTTCAGGGCAAGACAGTCATACTTTGAGTCGGGGGACAAAGCAGGAAAACTTTTGGCTAGATATATAAAACAGAGGGAGGCCCTTTCTACCATTCCCGCAGTGAAGTCTGTTAGGGGTGAAATTTTTACCTCAGCCATTGATATTAATAATGCTTTTAAAGCACTTTACTTGGATCTCTATAGTTCAATGTCTTCGTCTACCGATGAAGATATTAGAAACTTTGTGGAACCATTAGAACTCCCAACATTGACGACGGAGCAAAAAAATTCGCTTGATTCTGAGTTAACCCTGGAGGAGCCTGGCGAGGTAATCAAGGCCCTGCCTACAGGCAAGTCTCCAGGACCGGATGGCTTTGCCGCTGAGTTTTTCAAATCCTATGCTACAGAACTGGCTCCACTTCTGTTAGAAGTCTATACAGAATCGTTAAAGAATGGAAAGCTTCCTCCAACCATGACACAAGCCCGAATCAGTCTGATTCTTAAAAAAGACAAAGATCCAAGTGAGTGTAAAAGTTATCGTCCAATTTCCCTGATCCAGTTAGATGTAAAAATTTTGTCTAAAATTTTGGCTAACTGATTAAGTAAAGTTATGACATCTCTTATACATATAGATTAGGTGGGGTTTATTCGGGGCCGTAGCTCTTCTGATAACATTAGACGTCTCATTGATATCATGTGGTCAGTAGCAAATGATCAGTCTCCGGTTGCTGCCATTTCACTTGACGCCGAAAAGGCGTTTGATATGGTAGAATGGGATTATCTTTTTAAGATTTTGGAAGTGTATGGGTTCTGGAATACTTTCATTGGTTGGATTAAGCTACTTTATAGTCACCCTGTAGCGGCAGTACAAACAAACATTAACAAACATTAACAAACAAACATTATTGTTCTGTCTTGCCCTGGAACCATTAGCAGCTGCGATAAGAAAGGAGAATGATTTTCCAGGGGTGGTGGCGGGAGGTGTGGCGCATAAGCTTTTGC